AAATCCAAAGTACGCGGGTAAAATACTTTTTAAAACATTGGTAAGTTAAGGAAGGTTCATAGAACCATCAGAAGACGTTTGATTTGATTTTCATTTAAAATTAAGTTAAATATACGTAGAGTTTTTACAGGCTAGGCCTCGGCCCCTGATACAACGCGACATGGCTGGATGTGATGTTATTTCGTTTATATGAAAACCCAATCTGTTTTGTTAGATTAAATTTAGGAACTTTATTAATAATTATATAATAATTAATAATATATAATAATTATTATCAATAATTTTGAATAATTTAGCTCAACTTGAAATCTGCAAGTACAACACATTTCATGAGTTTTGCTGCAAGCACATTCATCGACCGACGCCATGATTCACTACTGTGAATACACGGCTGCCGTCGTCGCGCTGTAACACAGGCAGACACGACCAATGTACGTTTTATTCCCAAAATAGTACGATTTATTCTCGTTATATTTCACATTTAGCTTACACAATCGTAGAGAAAAGATGACGTTACATTCATAAACATGTAACAATGGTTTCTGTTAATTTAAATCACGCTCAACTTTACACACAAAGCGTGTATGAGACGTTAGTAAAGGCTATTTTGTTAAATTACTGTGTAAATCTTCGTACGTTTGTTTTGGTTCGAATACCCACTAGGCTATAGCTGAACAGCGTCGATCGCTAATTCGGTCCATTCCTGACAGGATTGTTCATTCAATTCATTGAAATTAGTGTTTTGATGGTGATTTTTTTTTTCATCCAATGGGAATTCATACATTTTATATGAGAAGAATCTATGAATATTCAGCTTTCCGTTTATGGGGGTGGGGGAATGAACAACAAGATATTTGCTTGGTGAACAGCCGAAATGGCAATTTAGCCAACGAAGTCGCTAGAAGTAAAAATGCAGCCTCTACGCGGTGGGTAATCAGCACAGCACCAATCGAAAAGTGAAAAATGACGTTGACTTTTTCAAGCAATAAAATTGAAACAAATACTAAATCAATCAGAAAGAATTGCCTTCCAAATAGGCCTACAGAATTGAAGGCAACACAAAAATCCGACAAGTAGGCCTATTTGCTGAGATATGACTGTGAAAAGACAAAAAATGACTTAAAAACTGCTAATATCAGCGTGTGAAACACCTTTGCTAAGCTATTCTCGCTCTTAAACGAAAATGCTGCAAGGAAACCATGTCGTATTTTTTTGTAGTTTTTGGAGCAATATATATATGGCTGATAATTTTACGTTATTTCGTCAGGTCGAGGCGATTTCACTTTATTTGACAATAGACTGATATTATTTCCACTCACAATAGTGTAGTCGTAATATTACTAATACAAAAGTGTGAAATTCAAAAAGGGAAGCAAAAATTTCTTGATTGATTTTAAAAGTAGTGTACATGCAAGACTAAATTAATCACTGTTTTAATCTTATTTGTTTTTCATGGTTCGAATTTTGAATACGTCACAAGCTAATCAGTAGTTAATAAATTATTATTTTTATGAATGTTAGTTTGCACGAAATATATAAGCGGGCATATTTATGACTAAAAGGATAATTTTAAAAACTTTTTATGGTGAGTATTTCCGTGGCAGATTCAAGGGGCCCAGGCGGCCCACTATCCCTAATATTTTTTTCGAAATTTAAAAGTGAAGAAAAATGAAAATTATATTCAAATTTAGTCTGAGTGTGCCATTTCCGACTAACTAGAGGTGCCATAATCATAAATTTTCTTACCTCAGCCCCAACCATGGTGGGCCTGTGGTCTACACTCTCCATCTGTGAAGGTCCCTCTCTGCGCCCAGCTCTATTTCAAATTACTGGATCCGCCACTGAATATTTTTAAAATTTCGTATGGAAATAAATGTTAATTGCATTGCTTAAAATCAATTAAAAGGCTATTGGCGCCAGAGCTTCCCTGATACCCAACCTAGGCTTGGGCCTACGGCCCAAGACTTTATTTTTCATTTCGTCCCCCCCCCCACACCCCCCCCCACTTTCAACCACGGATCGACGCCCTTGATTGTTTATTCGATCACGATAATAACAATTACCATTCAATAATAGTAGTAAGTATAGGCCGAGAGCATTTTTTGCAAGTGTTTTTCACACGCATGGAATATTAAGTACATTTTCACGACAGGTTGTGCAATGGTATAAAAAAGCCCCCTAACGCAAATCCAGGTACACAATAGTTGAACCACCTTTAAAATACCACAAATACAAATGTGCGTGACAATATTTTATTGCTTTAGAAATGTGATTTTAAAAAAGTAGTGCATCGTATACGTAAGCGCTTGTTTTGTTGTTGTTTTTTACTTGCAGCGTTTGGGAAATAGGTACCGTAATAGGTAATGAAATGTAATGAATATAATAATATATAGCATCTAAAACCTATTACTATTATTGAAGGGTCCTTTTAAAGTTTAAATAGGATTTTTTAAAGTTATATTTTTAGATCATTAGACCTATTGAACGAGCCCCCAATAGCCCCGGGCCCCAGTGCTGTGCACTGACTGCACTGTCCATACCTACGCCCCTGGACCTAAGTATTATTAGTGGTTACATAACGTTTGCTATGCACTGTATCATGTGCTATAGAAGTGGAAGACCATAATGTATTTGTGGCAAAGACAAGCCAAACCAGTCACTCGTCACAAATTGTGTTTCAGAGAAAATAGCAAAAACATGCTAGAATGTAAAATTTAAAAAAAATCTATTTTATTTCACTAAACTAAGTTTTATGTATCTATACATCATGCTGTGCTGTTATTTTTCCCAATTTTAATGTTAAAACAACACTTTTTAATGATTTTATGATAGTTTCTGAGAAATGCCTGAATCATAAACTTTTAAGGCTGATTTCTCATATATTGTTCTTCAAACAGCTGTACGCTTAAATGCTTGTAACCTCAGAAGGAAATGTCGGATTTGAACGATTTTTAACCATTTTATAGCTCTGATTTTACTCTTTAACTGTATTATAACTCAAAATCTAATTTTGCGACGAGTGACTGGTTTGGCTTGTCTTTGTTTTGGAATGTACCTCTCTCTCTCTCTGGTAGGGCCTGTACAATCAGTTTAAACGTGTAAGGTATAGGATAGTGTGGATTTAAACATTTTCCTAATGGTAATGTTCAAAGTAAGCGTCAAGGAAAGTAAGTATGATTGTTGGAAAAATTGGTCAACATTTTATTTTGAATTCTCACCCTGACCTTCGCCTGGACGAAGTGGGCGAAGGTCTGGATGCGCGTCTAGTTAGCATGAATTTTGTAAGCATTTTGTAAGCCAGGACCCATAGTATTTTGTTACGTTTCTTCACAGACGGGGTTCGTCGCCCCTCCCCCATCGGGGACATTGGACCCCCAGTCGGGGAAATCCTAGTGCCACAAATATGGTTCAATAACAATTACATACATAGGCCTATGTTCAAGACAGCAACGAAGCTCTTTGATTAGGCTATTCAATGTGATGTGTACGTATCGTCGCGACAAAAGCATCAGTAACGGAAGCGTATTGCTGCCAACGTAAATATATTTTTGAGCCATTACGCACGCGATAATTTAATCGTTGCTAAATACCACGATTTCAACCAAGGGCAGTGTGGCTTCTTAGGGTGACGTCATGAACAATCTTAAGCAGAGAGTCGGTCATCATTCCTTCAACCACTCAACTGCTGCGAGGCACGACGGCCGTCCTTAACGGCACGTTGTTCACTTTTTTGTTGAATTATTGGAGCCCTGCCTGAGTGTCTCTAAATGCACTTAATCTGCCCTCTCTATTTTGAGTAATAATTTATATTTCTATTAAAATGATAATTATAATAAAAATGAATTTGAATATTGTAAAAAAAACTGCCCGAGTATCTGATATTGTCTTGAATACACATCTATAACTGCACTTCAGCTGTCTTCTCTATTTTAATTAATAATTTATATTTCTATTAAATAATTATAATAAAAATGAATTTGAATGTTGTATAGAAAGGTTTTCAAAAAATGTCCGTAATTAATTGATGTACAGGTATTTCTAATTTGAAATATGATAATTTTGAATTTTGTATACTGTATAAACATTTTCATATGTCCATAATGACTTGATATTTTATATGTACAGTTATTTTTCCTGTAATGATGGCACTTGTGTTGTCTTGTCGGTCTGGGTGAGATATCTTGAACATTATCTTTCAATCGGATTTTGCGCGTAAATTCGCTGAGTCGAATGCCATAGAGACAGGATCAATGTTTTTCTTGGGACAAAATGTCATTCATTTTTGAGTATGCTTATCTGTCCTTCTGTAAGTTTGTGCATGGGCGTGGGGGACAGGGGACACGCCCCTGGGGGAACATCATAAAACAATTACGAATGATTGTCGTGAATTTCGTCTGTTAACTTGTGCTCTGTTCCAAGTGCGGACGAAAACCGAGTAAAAATGTAATTGTTTGTACATTTTGTAAGCATCTCAGTAAACACTCCATCGATTTTATGGGTGCAACGGTTATTAGATGCTAAAATTATTGTGAAAGAAATGTACTGTACGTTGTTAAAAATGGAAGCATGTAAACCTATTTAGGCCAACATTTTTACAAACTCGAAAGTACACAATTTCTACAATAAACGACTTTTGTATGATTACTAAGACCCTTATAGACTAGAGTTAATATTATCTGCATATAGATTCTGTTTTTTTTTTCAAAATTTCAAAAAAAGTATAGTTAGTCAAGTGAATTTTATATAGCGGTTATTAAACAATAATTATACAGCCTTTGACACGGATACGTCTATCTATTTAGACTTATTTAATAATAGTGAAGCCGCAAGTTTACGAACTCCGATGTGACGATTATTTTCATAATTATCCTTAACATCATCCTTACCATTATCATCATCATCCTTGTTGCCATCATCGTCCTCTTCATTGTCATCTTATTATAATTATTCAATATAATTATTAATTTTTGTTTATTTGAATCTGCCTTTTGGAGTTTTAGATACTACGGGTCAGATGGCACCGATCACCAAACGTACACCAGAGACCGTTATACATTTATCCATTTCTGATTGGTAACCAAGGACCAAATAATCAATTGCAAGCACTGGTTACAGCAATAGGTGTTGCTATTCTTACAAACAGGACAATTGTTGCTAGTGATTTCTACGATCATCAAAGTGGAACATTAAACAAACCTTACCCGATGAATGAAACCATTGATATTCATGAACTTGGTAAACTTATTACAATCGTGACTGAACACCAATTTTATAAAGATTGTGGTCATTATGTTACTGCTCTGATAAATGGTATCGTCGGTCGTAATAATGATACTGACGGAAAGAAATTGCACACATATAAAAGCTTCATACAATCACATAGTAACATTTCAGTGCCAAAGGTACTTGCTAATGGAAATAATCTCTTTGGCTTGAAACACGTATTACCAACGTTCAACACAAATGTTCAAGACAATTTTGACAGATGCTTAGGGTACATTTATCCTTACGGAGACTCTGCACAACTGTTTTTAGGACGACAAGAATTACGGTCTTTGATATTTAAGCATTTACGTAGACCAGATTTGATTAAAAAGCACCAGCAATCAATATCAAAATCACTGTGGAAGTCGGGTGGTGTTCTCGGCGTTCATTGGCGACTGAATAAGGAATGGCAGCGGGTTTGGTAAGTTTTAAAGTATAGTGTGGTCTATTCTCTCAATTGTTTTGACATTTTTCTAGTCTCCGGAGATAAAAAAATTGTTTTTGTTATTTGTTATTTCAGTATTTATATAGCGCCTATTCAGTTAAATTACATGTTTTACAAATGAATATGACACAGAAAAACCGTCGGGATACATATATTTGAAAGGGGATGTACTTAGATTTTTTTTAAATGAATGAGCGTTTTCACAGCTTTATTATTAACAAAAAAAAACTCAGTTATCACTATTACTTGTTAAATTACAGCATTTTATCAACCAGACATAAGAAGTGAATTAGACCTGAGACACATATAAGTTGTTTCAGATTAGACATCTTCATCTATTTTTTTCTTTAAATAGGCCTACCTAATAAATGTAGGCGCTGCGTGTGGCACCAGGATTTGGCCAACGGGGGTGGGCAATGTTCCCGACGAGAGCTAAGTGGGCGTGGTCGGGCGTCATTCAAAATGTTCCGAAAGTGGTCCAGGGGTGGGGGCGAAACCCTCTAAAAATATGACAATTTAGGGGTTTCAGGCTTATTTATTCGATTTTGATACATGATGCATTAATTTTTTTCCCACCGATTTGTGGTTTTTCTCCTTGACAGGGGGCTCTGGCCCACACTGGCGTCACCCCTGAATTTAGGATATTTCTTTCTTAGTTGCTCTTGAACCCCGGACATTTTCTTTTATAGGTGCCGCGGTAATGATTCATACAGCCAAAAATATGCATGTAAAGTGGCACGCATTGACAAAGCATTCATCGCAAAGCGTTTGGTGAACACAATGACAATGCTCAATTTGTCAAATATTTATCTCGCAAGTACACAAGACTCTGAGGTAAGGAAATTCATCTGCTTTAGATCAATCAAAAGACACAAGAACTACCGGTAATGCATGTATAGGGAATTTTAGGAAAAGGTATAGAATGAATTGATATGATGTACTCTCTAACTAGGCCTTCTTGGGGAAGGGGTACAAACATTTTCTGCGTGATTTTCCCTTTTATTACACTGTGACCTTTATTAAATTTAGGGCCAAATGTAGAAGTAGGGGAATAACTAATAACTCGCAGCATCATTGTGCTGAATTGCGTATGGGCGTGGTCTGTGACTACCTAGTAACCGTAAAGAGGTGCTTATGTATCTACATGTTCACATCATTTCACAACAACAGGTGCTGAAATGAACCATAGCATCGGGGTAACCCCCTAAGCAGTGAGTTCTTTAAAGTGTACACGAGCCAAGTGGCGGCGCTACGGGGGGAGGGGGAATATCCCCCTAAAAATATTCTTGCACCCCACCCCACCCCCCACAAGAAAAGAAGAAAAAAAAATCACAATTCGTCGGGGGACAAAAAAGTAGGCCTGTATGTAGCCTATTTTCTACGTAGGGCCAATTAGTAGACAATGTAAAATTGATTAAATAAGCCTCTGAAACCCCTAAATTGTAACATTTTTCGGGGGCCCCATAGACCACTGTCGAAACATTTAAATTGACACCCGACCACGCCCACTTTGCTTTCGTCGGGGACCTTGACACCACCCTCCCAATTGTACAGTACCTTTCACTTGTACGGTACCACCTTACTTCACCCCCACACCCCTTTTCAGACGCTGGCGAAACCCCTGCACGAGCAAGATGTGTACACTGGACCTCCAAGTCCTTATACGAGAAGACTTGGTAGTTCTCGGCGCCCCTGCCTTGCCGCTCGGCCACTCAAAAAGATATTATTATTACACTGAGGATCTTAATTTTAGGAAAATTAGGAAAATGTATTACATTTGGAGAAACGCTGCTTTGTCTGCATGCAAACACAATGCAGATATCGGTACATATGTTAAAAAATTGATTTATGAATTTCAAAATTATTTTAATATTTTAGGAAAATTTATTACATTTGGAGAAGACGCTGTTTTTCTGCATGCAAACACATTGCAGATATCGGTACATAAGTTAAAAAATTGATTTATGAATTTCAAAATTCCTGGTTATGGAATGCCCGGGTTAGCAGTTACAGTCAGGGTTACAGAACTTCTGTTGGGAACATGTCAATAGATATCACTACAGTACGTGCAGAAAAATAAGATTAAATGTGTTAAGTAAGAAGGCTCATTACCCAGATCAGTGGCGGATTCAAGGGGTGGGGGAAGCTGTCCCAGACCCCCTAAATTTTTCAAAATTATAAAAAATGGGGTAGAAAAGAAAATTATATTAAAATTGAAGTGAGAGGGCCGTTTTCGGTCTTCTAGAGGTGCCATAATTATAAATGTTCTTACCTCAGTTTCAACCATGGTGGTGGTCCACACTCTTCACCTGTGAAAGTCCTCCCCCCACCCATTTTCGACCTGCCACCACAGATCTCCAGGAAATGACTTCTTCCAACTTGGGACCCCCTTTTTCACATCAAAGCAAATATAAACAGGAAAACACTCAAATGACACTTAAAAAATCTTTGGATGATTAGGTGTTTCTTGGCCAGATTTCCCCAGTATATTTTTCCCAATAACTATTGCTATTTTTTTGCTATTATAAAAATTATATTGTTTTTAGATTTAATTATTTACATATCTTTAATTTTAGCATGCCCCCACCCCCCCTCCACACCTTATAAATGTACCAATCAACTGTTATATGCCGTCATCGTTTAATAGATCGTCTTATGGATGCTGGGTCGGATGCAGGATTTGGCGGTAGGGGGTGCATGAAAGTCCACACAGTGGAATATTAAATTTGAGAATATGGACGTGCCCGGAAATTGCACTCTCATACCTTAAAAATCTTACCGGTAATTCATATCAACAATACAATACAACAATTATTTTTCTTAATGCAATTTAGGGGGGTGTGATCGCGCACCGTCTGCACCCCCACTGCAGCCCCCCAGGACGTGAACGTTCCTTTCTTTGCCCCTTGTGAAATGTCACCCCAAATCAATCAGAATTGGCATACCACAGGGTAGTGTCTTTGGTTGAAGTTTATTTTTGTTATTCATGAATAATGATATTTAAAAAAAAAGATTTTTCCTGGGACATATAGTATTTTTGCGGATGATTTTGCTATTTATGTTTCAGGAACACAAGTTGATAGATTAAATACAGAATTTCAAATATTTTAGAAAATATTGGTAAATAGTATGTCGGAAATAAGTTTGTTTTTCTCTTTTGTGGATTCATCCAACTGTTATTTGTCAATTCAGTAGTACATTTTCACAGCTGTATCGCTCATTAACGCCAACATTTTACATGACATAAACATTGAGTTATGGTATAAAAAAGCTTTTTTCATATACAAATATAATATACATATTTTTTTTTCCAACATTTTTCCTGTGAATTATATCTTTCCATTCTTGTGGAATTGCCTTAAGCAAATTACCCAGTTAGCTTTTCCTTTCAACACTCTTAAGTTGTGTTACATAAGCCATTGATGATTACAACATCTTTTATTCTGTTAATACCGGACCTAATCCAGTTTCTGTACAGTAATGAGAAACCATTATATGTAATCATTTTATTTCCCTATATCTGTTGCTCAATGACCTTATCATACCATGCCGGGTGCTGGGCAATACCTTCATTAAATACCTCTATTCTCAGTTAATTCAAAAACACACTGCAGTGCCGGATGGAATCGAGTCCAGGTGGGAAAAAGAACTAGACAATACTAAACTACAATGGGATATGATCTTCACAACGTTACATAAATGTACAATTGATACAAAACTTAAAAATTTTCAGTTTCGATTTATTCATCGTATTATTTATACGAATTCCTTTCTACATAAGATATATATTGTTGAATCACCAAATTATGATTTTTGCTTAGAAAAACAACAAACTTTATTACACAGGTTTTTTGAATGCAAAGTAATTAATGCGCTGTGGAAACAAGTACAAATATTTATAAAACAAAGGTTTGAAAGAAATTTAACTTTAAATAAAGAAAGCATATGTTTTGGAATTGACAACCATAAAAATAATCATGCAATTAATAAACTAATAGTTATTACAAAACTATACATTTATAACTGTAAAGTTAATGGACAAAAACCGCACATAAATCCCTTAAAATCAGTATATGAGAAGCATAAACAAATTGAACAATACATTGCATTCAAAAATAGTTAGCATTGCAGAATAAGGTAGATAGGCCTATATACTGAAATTTTTTTTATATTATGTATTTTGTAGAATTATGAATCATCAATCATTTTGTTTCTTGAATAGCCATTTATGTATGGTAACTATCCATAGTTGCTTACTTTTTCTTTGGTTTTTTATAGTAATGTAACCTTGCTATGTAATTTGTTTTGTTTTATGAAATATACCAGAAATAACAAAAAAAAAAAAAAAAAAAAAAAAAAAAAAAAAAAAAAAATACCTTCATTGAGCTGAGCCAAAGTAGTTAAGATATCGTTGGTATACCTCTAAGCAGGGGCGGCGCCAGCGGGGGAGGGGGATGGACAGGGAGATTAAGCAAAGTTTTCACATTCCACTACACCAAGCCAAATCTTTCTCAGCAATCGTTTCGTCTGGTTCTGATCAGTCAAGCAGAACATATAAATCGTTAATCGACCATTGACGACCAGCAAGTCTCAATTAAAAAAAAAAAATCTCGTTTTGAGAAGAGGGGACACACCCTCCCATACCCACCTTCGGCCCTCACATAACGCTGCGCGCTATAGTTACACGCATAAATACTTAGCCCCCAGTCGGACATCTAATCCCCACCACCCATAAATTATATCCTAAGGCTGCCACTGCCTCCAAGGGCATGCCCTTTAAAATTCAAATGTGATGTTATTTATTACGTCTTTTGGGCCAATTTCGTTAAAATACATACATAATCGGAAATAAGTTGAAAATATATGCAGTTACAACATATACCTCTGTAAGCTTCACGATTCATAATATAGGAAAAGTGGCCGAAACATTGCGGCAATCACTTATTACATAAGCACAATCGAACCATGTATCGATTATGCAATTTCGGTTTTGGGAATCACATCTGAGATAAATATATTGTAAAAAGACTGCAAAAACGTTGAGCAAGAATTATATAAACAAAATTTTTATTACAAAAACTCTTGTGGCGAAAACATAATTCGACAGCTAATTTCATGTTTAATGTACAGATGCTAAGTGACATGCTCCCATCCTCTTCTCGTTAATATAACGAAATTAAAATGATTTTCGATCGACATGGATATTCCAAATTCAAACGCTTTGAATGTTGTTGCACTAAGCGTAGTGCCGTCTCTCTTTCACTGTAATTCCCATCTAGTGTTCGAGTCACAATTTTTACAACGGTATATGGGCAAGTCATGTGTAACTACCATCATGTGACTATTTTTAAAAATTTGAAAATATTAATGTGCAGTATTACTTAAAGATAAATACTATCAATTCAGATTGTTATTTATGCATTGCTTTTTTTAGATTTAAGTGGGATGGGGCCCTTACAGATCGAGGACCCATGGAGGTCGGGGGCCCAGGTTCAATAAACCTGCGGTAGTTACGACACTGATTTTTGTTAACCAGGTGCCTTCCAACACTTATTCATTTACTAAAATTCAAAATATATGTCAGATCTATCAAGTAAACAATGATTAGCAATTGCTATGCCAAAACGTCTTTCATGAACATATTTTCGTCAATCAAGTGCCTTCAAAATATATGTTGTGTAGAAATGGTTTGGTTTCTCAACCCCGAAGTCGGGGTTTCAATCCCTCACTGTGAATTTCGCTTGTGTCCTTAAGCAAGGCACTTAATCTGCATTGCTTCTCTCCACCCAGAAGTACTAAGTGGGCAGTGGCGGGGTGAATAGGGTGGCTACCGCCCCCCCCCCCCCACTTTCAGTGACCACGAAAAAAGAATACGGTCAGTCGTCTTGTGTGTGTGCTTCTCATGTATACATGTTACATGTAGCAGGCTACTCTCTTAAAACATACACTTTCTATTACAGCTTAACTTCTTTTCAGATGTCATCCAAAAGCGTCTTTTTAGATGTCATCCAAAAAACTTAAATGGAAGGGGATGCCTCTCCCAAAACCCATGATCAAGGGTGGACACGTCCCCAAATATTGTTGAGGGGTGGGGGTGTGTCCCTTCACTTTTCGTCCGCAATGTAATAATTTCATAAGTTAAAAAGATGCCTGGAAATTGTTGAAATGAACTGCATAAATGACCCAGGTTTTAACGAAAGTGTGCTGTACAACCGGTACTCTATCTCTGCCCACAAAAATCTGAATTACATTACACGACTCAAGTGGACGTACCTATATTATAATTTGAGAAGTATGAGAAAAAAACGTGTAATAATAAGAAGATTGGTTTTCGGCACATGGTAAAGTAAATTAAAAATACATCAAAGACAATTGAGTTTTATTTTCAAAGGAACATCACAGCTATTAATTTGATCGATGGATGATGAATTTAATTATATAAAAGTGTCATTTCCGGCAATCTAGAGGTACTATTTACCCAAAATGTTCCCACCTCAGCCCTTAACTATGGTGTAGACTGATGGGTTTAAGTAGGTAGGCCTGAATTAATACAACAAAGACAATGTTTTTAATATTTATTTTCTATAGTACATCACACATTAATTAGATATTTATGATTGTCGAAAATCGCTGGTAAACATCATGAGAAATTTGTTGGCACTTCATTTTATTATATAATGGAGATGTGATGACGAGGAATTTTTACTCGTTATCTAGATCTACTATTTCCTAAAATTTTCGCACCTCAGGCCCAACCATGGTGGGCTCACGAAATGTCCCCCTCACCTTTCCAAACAGATCTGCGCACTTGTCGAATCAACGCCCCCCCCCCCCCCCCCCGCCCCCCCCCCCCCCCCCACACACCTTGCTAAATCCTAGATCCGCCACTGGTGGGTACCTAAAGAGGATCGAGTGCAAGATACAGTATATATTATATATAGTATAATATATTTTATTTGGCAAACTATGGAATTCCCCCGTACGCATCCTTCCAATAGAAGCAGCCAAGAGCAGCTGTGAGGCATGCGACAGCTTTGCTGGCTGAGCCCATTGGCTAACCCAAACCCTCAAATTCGAAACCACCTTTGGGAACTGAAAATTTAGGGTGGTCTCAGGGTTTTGGTCTCCATATAGAGGATTAGCTTAGTGTAACAGATTTAAGATTATTATTTGGTTCTTTGAAAAGTGGTCCCTAATTAGAGGGGTCTCGATTTAGAGGGTGCACTGTATTATGCTGATGACTTGAGTTAAACAAATAGCGCCAGTACGCTGGATTTTTGGAATGCCAAGCTTCATACATTACTATTTTCTGTATAAGAACGATATTAACTACTAAGAACACAGATGGTATGTTGTATAATACAATTTTTTCATGTTTCCAGAAGCAGATTATTTCATTGGAAGTCCTCTATCATCATGGACAGATAATGTCATTCGGCAAAGAGATTACAAACAGACGTCAATTATTTCAAAGATACTGTTGTCACCACTACAAAAAACTTGAGGAACACAGTGGGTACCTGGTAGATTTGAATATCAACGTTCGGACTGTAGCTATAACGGTAGTTTTCCACCGACGAATTTATTTCACTCTGCAAAAGTTACAGACTACAAAAATCTGCTGAACCGGACCACTAAAAGCAAAACTATCTGGCATAGGACTTGCGCAAGAGGCACATAGTCAATCTGGATTAACATCTAGAGAGCTGAGTACATATTCTATTGGTATTTGCTTCAATGACTGGGTAATAAAGCACAGTGACATTTGGAAATCTGTGTGCAACATTACAATCACAATTTAATTCGTTATTTTGTTTATACAAATGTACTCATATTTAAACATACAGTAGTCAAGTATTTCTATAAACAGGCTGTTCTAATAAAACCTCCTGTTTGTTTACGTTATGTACATAATTGCAATCTATACCGGTCACTTTATAATTCAACACATTGAGAGGTTTATTTCTTTTGTGTAAGTTTTGAAGATTAGTTTTACTGGGCGAGCATAGATTTAATATTTAATGTTCTCCTGAAGTAAAGTCGAAATGGTGAAATATATTGCTCCGAGGTATGTGGAGACCGTAGCCTCTCTTAGGCTACGGTCTCCACATCACCGAGGGGCTATAGATTTCACTGTTCCCTGAATCTAAAGCAGTCAATATTTGTTTTATATACCTCGTACATAGATTGTACGAGACCTAAAAATAATGAAAATAGTACACAGCAAAAAAGTACTATCTCATAGGGTAATAGCAGTGGCGGACCGCAGGGTAAAATGGCATATCTAGAATGTACGAGGGTAGCACATGCAACCCCCTCCCCCTAAAAAAAATACTCGCCCATCCCAAGTCGCTTCCACCCCCACCCACAAATCATCCTCAAGTAGTTAAAAATCACCTCAAATCATGTTATTTTGCAAGTTAGACCCCTCACCTAATCACCAATCCCCCACTTTACCTTTCTACCCCCATCAGCTCCCTTCCATTTCAAGACCCCTATGCCACTGATGGTGGGCCTGCTAGTAGGAAATGTTTGTAACAGATTGCGTTCTGTAGTCAAAATACAATGTATGTTATTTTTAATACCAGCATCGTTGTCTTCTTTTCAAAAGAATTCTTATTCCTGTATTTTAACAAATTTCAATTCAAATAATAATAATTCAAAGTTTCTTCTATACTGGTCATATGTATGTAAATTTATTTACATTCAGATTAGGCCTATAGATAGAACACCTGATCAGCAGTGGAGGTCCCGATTTGTGAGCAGAAGAGTATGCGCACGTACTATTGGAAGCACTGCTTCCATTCCCGTGTTAAATTGGCTATTCTGACGCCACCACACGGTTGTCACAGTAGCAAATTTAGGCGTTGTAGGGTATAATGCTCTGACTCCCATTGACTCACTGAATACGTAATTGGCTGATATTGGAAACCAGCCATGCAGAAATTCTAAGCAGCTGAGAGTACGATGCCATTGAAAAACTTTGCTATTACAATGAAATGTAGCATTCCACTCGAAAAATTTAGGTTTATATAGAAGACTCTGACTAAGAAATGCTAAAAAAAGAAAAAAAAAAAAAGGAGAAACTGTACTAATATATTTTAAAAAATTTGTTTTAGCCAGGGTATGCACGGCATACCTTGCTTGCCTTGACAGTCAGCCACTGGGTAATAGTACTTTCTATTGCTGCTTCTTAACCAATCAGATGCCTAGAATCTATGTATGTGGTATATCAAGTTAGATTTCAGATATTTCTGCAATAGTCCAAAAATTTTCTTAAAGTGTAATTTTAAAGATTGTATCATAAGTGTTTTTTTTTTAATTATGCATTTCTGCATTTGTTTTAGTTGCTTGTGATGACCACATTGGAAGATTTAACTTTTATCCTTAGTTGTCAGTTTGTCATTGTATTTTACATGTATGGTATGAAATAAATTTAATAAATCAATCAATAAGTGATCTGAAGCAAAAGCATCTTTCTTCTGAACCAAAGTATTTACTTGTACATGGTGACATGGTTCAGGATTTTAAGTATTTCTCAATTGTGCTTTGGTTATTATCATAATTTTTCTTGCGCTTCGCTGATGATGTTTCAGTACCACATCTTCTGAAATGCAATAAGATAAACAAAAGTACATTAAACTTGCTGAGCAGCACTGTGAAATATACATATAAATAATAAAATAATGGTAGAAACAGTGCTTGAATAAAGGAGCAATGATGTAAACATGCATAACCCAGTTTATAATGCATAGGATTGCCCCTGACATGATAAATTAAAAAATTCAGTAGCACTTGCGACAATACAGTTTTTGACAATTCTTAATGTTTCTGATTAAAAACAACGTATATGTGAAAATTCTTAATAATATACCAACTCTTTAAAAGTATGAAACAAATGCCGAAAAATTGATACAAGCCATATTTGATTCAATATTTCAAACTTTATTAGTTCATCTACAAACTCTTGCACTGAAATTTTACATTTAATCATGTCTACTTTTATCCAATCAGTGTGTTTTTATCCGATGATGGCATTTTGCTGGGAGTAACATTGGTATTAAAAGATAGTAATCAACAAAATTGAGTGAAATGTAAATACAAGGTGTCATCAGTCATCATGTCAGTTCTTTAAAATCAATACAAAAATACAATGTTTTTATAGCATCACACAATTCCTGCCAATGATTTGATCAGAAACTGTATTGTCAGTCATCATGTAAGTTACTCTAAACAAACATCAGATGGTGAAATCAATAACAACTGTCCAATATTGACATTATCCCACCGCACCGAAATTGATGCATTTGGTTTTCGGGCATTGAATTTATAGCAAATTACACTATGACAAAATGGAGCTAGGAATGCAAATAAAAAAAAAAAAACAAAAAAAAAAACTCACCGTTTTAGGGATGTTTTTGATGGAGAAACATTTTGTTGAATAGGAGTGTGTTCTGTGAAAGAAAATGCAACTATATATATATAAAATCACTTTATTTCAAAAAACAAAAACAAAGGAAAACATACAAAACCTAGGTTGGGACCTTATAAAGGAACATGCAAGGTAAATAGACAAAAACAGTTACAAAAGCATATTCACATTCACATTCACATATATTCATTCACATACAGTTTGCCCACCAATTCAAGACCACATTTAGGATCTGAAAATTTGGGATGGTCCATCTTAGGGATCGGTCTCCAGTTATTATCATTATGATTATTGTTATTGGCTTTGCTCGCATCAAGCTATAGTTTTTGTACTTTTTTTCCTTCTATCCCGTTTTCCTATCTTTTTACAGGGTTTTTCTGTACGGCACACCTTGGTCACTTCCTGGGACTTAGATCTTCTTCACATTTTGTCCAAGCATAATATCATAAATGTGCATATTTCTTTCTTTCTTTTATTGTTTATCCTGGGGGACTGCTCAGGGAATAAAATCCCTGGTCCTCTGCAGATCCCAGGATAGAAAATAACAAACAGTGAAACATTTCATATAACAAAAAATATTGAAACACAAAAGCTGTACTACTCCCAATTTTTTTTTTTTAATAGAAAAAATTTTGAAATACCATCTTTAAAAACATTATTAAAATATTATTATTTAAAAACTGTATTATGTCATTCTTCATAATTTGAATTTTCATAAATGGGTAATTAAACTTTTAATGTTAACACAATTCGCATTTTATGAAGTGTTTCGAAGTAGCTACAGCTGGGTTTAAAAAGTGAAGTTATTGGGGTTAGAATTCTACACATCACCGTAATAAAAAAAACATTGCAGATACGGTTTGAGTCTCAGTAGAGTTGAGTGATTTTTCATTTTTTTTTTTTTGCTTCATAAATTCTGTTTTTATATACACCCACCAAAAATTTGTTTTTAATTGGATGTTTTTACCTTCTTAAATACCTACATTGTGGAGATTACTCCAACACAACTTCCAAGGATACTTGTTTAATATGTATATTGATCATTTATTAAAAACAATAAATCACTAAGTTGACATTTAAAGCTGAAATTTTGGAGAAAGCAGTCTACTGGCAAGTTATTACACATTTGAAAAACAATGATTCAATCCATGATTATCAGTCGGGCTTTAGAGAGTCATACTCTACAGAAACCTGTCTAATCTATCTCATGGATCATATAAAAGACAACAAATCTAGTGTGGTCTTTACTGGAATGGCAATGATTGACATTCGAAAAGCCTTCGATTCTGTTGATCACCAAATTTTATGTGATAAACTTTCAGCATTTGGCTGTTCTTCAATTGGATGGTTTCATTCCTACTTAAATGACCGTAAACAGTCAGGTGCTTTCTCTAATATCCTGCCAATCAAGTGTGGAGTGCCCCAAGGCAGTGTTCTTGGGCCTCTTCTATTCCTGGTATACCTTAATTACATAGCTGTATCTATTGACCCAATGTGTAAGGTTCTTTTATATGCGGACGACTGTGCAATTTTATTTTCTGATCCCGACCCTGCTTTTATTGAGAATGTTTTGAGTAAGAGCCTTGAATCTTGTTCAAAATGGCTTGTGGATAACAAATTAACTATCCGCAGTGAAAAAACTGAGTGTATCTTATTCGGAACAAAGCGACGATTTAATACAAATGCAAAGAGAGTATTACGCATCTAGGAAGGAACCACACTCCTACCTGTCACAAGTACATTGCTCAATCCAAATTTTGTGACAGGGACTTTACATTATTGCATATGATTAGGATGATTCCCAAACAGGAGTTCTTCATATTATTATCCTTGCATTTGTATAATATGATATAAAATGGGTCTTGCTGTCAAAAAAAAAAATCATAGGCATGGCTGAAGAAGACATTGTATCATTACCAAGACCTTATTGTTCGACTCAGTTTTAAACTGAACGTCAAAGAAATGTGCGCTGTGTACACTTCAGTGCCTAGGCAGTAGGCATATGCAAGATAGAGACAAATACTACATGTTCCTAAACTTATAAAATTACTGTCAAAAGACTATGAGCCGGAATCAAGTTCATCTAATAATAGGCCTCGCGCAGCATATCCATTTTTCTTCTGTTTTTTTCGGTTCCTTAAACTTGTCTCCTAATTGTTCAATGTACAGGCAGCAAGCTAAACTGTACAGCCATTATGTATATATTTCTAATTTTTTCTTCACTCACCAACGTTCAATGTCTTCTTCATCTAGGTCTACAATCACTTTGTTGCCTACAGTACCTGGGCCATTCAATATTATTTTTTATGAATACAAGCATACCAATAATATAAAGAAGCCAACTAGAATCGTCTTAATCCTATATATTTACAATGGCCTGTTGCTCAGTTTAGATGGAGCGATGCAATTTCTTCATTGTCACAAATTTAGTTTAGAGCATCTACGTAACAGACGCGCACAAATTAAAACCTGTCTCTTATACACATCTATGTAAATACAAGGTGTCATCAGTCATCATGTCAGTTCTTTAAAATCAATACAAAAATACAATGTTTTTATAGCATCACACAATTCCTGCCAATGATTTGATCAGAAACTGTATTGTCAGTCATCATGTAAGTTACTCTAAACAAACATCAGATGGTGAAATCAATAACAACTGTCCAATATTGACATTATCCCACCGCACCGAAATTGATGCATTTGGTTTTCGGGCATTGAATTTATAGCAAATTACACTATGACAAAATGGAGAGATGTGTATAAGAGACAGAGTTAGACCCCTCACCTAATCACCAATCATATATATATATATATATATATATATATTTATTTGTATATTTTGGCTTTGTGTATATTTTGTGCTGCAGTTGAGCATGTGGCTAGCTTAGGCCCTGCTTAAGATTGTTAAATATTTTGTCTTGATCTGTACCCTAGCTGCACTGATAAGCACTTTTAGGCTGAAACGGATCGTCTGCAGATATTAGGATTTTTCTTATTGGATTTTCTCTACTGTTTAAATTATACATGCATGCATGCATGCATGCATACATACATACATACAGTACACGCATACATACATACACGCATATATACATACATACATACACACACACACACACACACACATAGACACACACTACACATATATAAAACAAGCAAGAGAAGAGTCAATGAAATAGATTTATGTAGTAATATTATTTTGGAATGCATGTACTGACATATTTTGAAAGTAATTCCTTCCTTCCTCCCTTATTGTGGAATTAGTGGAATTCTCATCAACCTTTACAGATCAGACTTTTGAAAATTTTCAGTTAAATGGTACTCAAACAAACTTCAGCATACCTACCCATTAACCTCAGTTTTAAAGGATCATGTTGGCATGAATTGATCTCAACTCGAAGTAGCTCACTGGCAGATTTATAAATTGCTTCCAATGCATTGGTGGGACTTGAGAGGGATGTGGATCTAGACTTGACTTCAAATTTCACTGTTTTCAATTTAATTGTGAGAGTTCTTCCCTGTTTGAATAAATTTAATATACAAATGAATGAAATATATAGATTTTTACAATATTAAACAGAGAGTAGATCGGCTTGGTGGTTAACATGCTGCCTCCTTTCAATCCAAAGGTCCAGGATTCAATTCCTGTTATGGTAACAGGATATTTTTCTCACAACAAAAAATCTCAGAATTTTGAATAAATCCCTTCTGGTCTAAATGAGCTTTCGAGAGTTAGTTAAATGAGCTTTCTTAAAATATTTAATTTTATTTTGCTGGGCATGGTGATACCCATCGGCACTGAATTCCATGATACAATTAAAAATATTTATTTATTTAAGCTTCCTTTAACCAGGGAGTATCCATTCAGTGACTAGCACTATTTTTCAAGGAAACCCTGGTACATACAGTAAATATAACAAAAAAAAAAACAAAAAAAAAAACAAAGTTTACAATCATAAGATTCAAAAGTAACTAAAATTAAATAAAAAACAACAAGATAGCCTAAAACTGAAAAGAAAGCAGACAAATGAAAATCACAGAACCAAAATAAAAAACACAAGTTAACTTAAACAAAAGGAAAGGTAAGTCTTACTGAACACAGATAAAGGCCTCTATCTGTATAGAAAGAGAATCAAAATTGTTACGAATGTTGTGAGAAAGATTACAACTAGAGTAATTGATATTTGATTCCTAGTAGGGTAAGAATGAACAGAGTGGGTGAATTTACAAGGCAGATATTCAGGGGCATTGCCATTTAATATTTAAACACTGTATGTAAAATCTGGTTTGTCCATCGATCATTTAGTTTAAGAAAAAGGTAGTAAAAGCACACAAATATTATGAATTTGTGGGAGATGGGTTGTTTTCCGGTAAATTCTTGCTTGTTGGAGTGCGGGAGGCCGTCTTGACTTGGGAACTCTGCTAATCTCAATTTAATTCAACGTTGTTTACACCATAAGATTTATAGTTTATTTATGAGTAGTTCTTGATCAACTGTGCGCTTTGAGCACCATTGGTGGAGATGTGCGCTTTATAAATCTTTATTATTTCCGTAAAGTGAAAAGCGAAAGCTTGTGGCCCGGATCAAATCCCAGCAAAAATTGTCAAGGAATTTGCTTACGAACTTAGTAAACCATTAATGGCAGTTATTAACTCCTCTTTTCAAGAAGGAATCATGCCAAAACAATGGAAACTTGCCAAGGTTATCCCCTTACCCAAATCACAGCCAGCAACACATGACAAGCTTCGTCCTATATCTCTTACCGATCATTTTGCAAAAGTAGCAGAAAAGTTTTGTAGTTAACTGGCTATATAAAGATATCAAACCAAATTTGGACCCAAACCAGTATGGCAACCGTCCTAATAGATCAACTGCTCATTACCTTGTTAATTTGATTGACACCTTAGCTAAGCATACTGAAAAGAAAAACTCTATATCGAGACTTGTTATATTATAGCAAGGCGTTATGATTATAGCAAGGCGTTTGACAATATAAACCATACCATCTTAATAACTAAAATGCTGTCTTTAGGTGCGAGACAGAGTTAATACCTTGGGTTTGCAGCTTTCTTACTGAAAGAAAGCAGTTCGTCTCTTACCAAGGAACAAATTCCAACTATGTCACTCTTAATGCAGGCGTTCCACAAGGAACAAAATTAGGACCCTTAGGGTTTCTCTGTATGAATAATGATGCATCAATTTCTAAAAAAGTAACTTCTCCTAAGTATGTTGATGATATGACGATTGTAGAATCAACATTTAGGAATGGCGTTGGAAAATGCATTTTGTAAAAAGAAATGGATACTTTAGAGGTTTGGGCTAAAGAAAACATTATGAAACTCAATCCGACTAAATGTGCTTGTATGAACATCACATTTATGAAAATAGCACTTGACCTAGATGCACTTCTGATATGTAGCCAGGTCATTAAAGATGTTGACTTTGTCAAAATTCTTGGTGTTCATCTTAGCTCTAATCTCAAATGGGATCTCCAGGTTCAAGATATGACAAAACGTGCCAATAGTAAATTACATATGCTTAAACTTTTAACTAAATTCTCAATCCCTTGCAAAGACTTGTTAACCGTTTACATGGGTTATGTTAGACGTACAGTGGAGTATGTTGCGCCGGTTTGGCACCCCGGTCTTACTAATAAGCAAAACAATATTATTGAGCGAGTCCAAAAGCGTGCATGCCGCATAATCTTAGGCAGGCACTACGTTTCGTACGATGATGCTCTCCAAAAACTCAACCTACAAACCCCTGACGCAAGACGTACCTTGTTATGCAAATCATTTGCCAAATCTTTGCTCAAAAGTGAAATTCCGTAATTGGCTTCCCCCTTTAAGAGAACGGATGCATAATTATATCTTACCTGCCCACCTTTTGACACCTTGTGTTACAAAAATAGCCCCATTCCTTACCTTGTCAATGCTCTTAATAATAAATAAATAAATAATAAATAATAATAATAATAATAATAACTATAATAAAGATAATTTTTATGATAATGATAATGATAAGTACTGCATATTAGGTTTCTAGGTTTCCTGTGTTAATTTTTCATTCGTTTTTATATATTGATCCTGATAAATCGTTGTTTTTCTATGTTTCAAATATTTGTAAACAGACCTTTATTCCTAATGTTTTTATATTTGTTAATTTTAATAATTTGATGTTGTAACCATTTGTTGTAATTCAGTTTTTAACTGTGACACATTTTGGAATAAACATTGAATGAATGAATGAATGAATGAATTATTATTATTATTATCAAAAGCTTTCCTTAGATCTAGGAATATTGTAGCAGTTGCTTCACCATCATTTAAGTTATTAAGTATATAATCAGACCCATCTATATTAATGTATTGTTAGTTGAATGATCCTTTCTAAAACCTGATGGTGATGCATTTATTATATTGTTAGTGGTTAAAAAATAATATAATTGATCCTGAACTGCTTGTTCAATTATCTTGGAGACAATAAGCAACACCAAATTTGGACGATATTTGCTTGGGTCACATTTATCACCATCTTTAAATTTCATTTCATTTATTTAGCCGAAAACAATTACAATATACAAGGATAAAACAGTAAAAAAAACCCAAAAAAGATACAATAAATGTTGGTCTCTGATTCCCCACAGGGGCTGGCGGGATACCAAAACGTAAAATAAATTACTGTCAAAGTGGGTCTCTATCTGAGAACAGTAAAACACATAGAGAATGTAATATAAATGTAAATATAAATTACAATATAGAAAATAATAAGTATTTCAATTACAATCATTCGATCATCAGAAGCATCCTTATTATATTTTAAAAATATATATTTATATTAATGGAAAAAAAATGATATTAAAAATAAATTGATGTTAGAAAAAAGTGGAGGAAGAATAGAATGATGACTAAACAAGAAGTAAAACACAGGGAGTGGAAGCAGATAAAGCTGATGGTATATGGGAAGTACGGAATGCTGAACATGGTGACATTGGTTGCAGCGATTGCATTGCAGTTTTAAGACGATGGACATAGTTTGCTGCATCAAAGGAAGGATTGAATGAATCAGAGTGGTCCGAAATGTCTTCAAACTTGGCTGGTAAACGGAGTGTAGTTCCATACACCAATTCCACAGGAGAATGTCCAATTGTTCGAATAGCAAGATTAAAAGGTAAACTTTCTGTCCATTTAACTTCACTGCGAGCTTTCAGAGATACTTTAAGTTGGCAGTGGAAACGTTCGACCATACCATCAGCACATGGAAGGTATGACGTTGTGCAGGAACGCTTAGTTCCAGGCAGTATAGTAAGTTCTCTGAACAAAGAAGATTCAAACTGTCGGCCACAATCTGTCTTAATAATAGAAGGTGTACCAAAATTAGCAACCCAATGAGTGATGAATGTTTCGGCAACAGTCTTAGCTGTGATTTTGGTGATTGGAACTGCATTGTGTTTACCAGCCTAAATCAGTGGCTTTGTTGATGGAAAATTTACAAGTTTCATCAAATACATTTGGTGTCAAATTTAAGCTGATTGTTCATATTAACATTAGAGTTAGGACGTGTTAGGAGGATTTTCAGAAAATTTTGGCCTAATTGGCCAATTGACGAAAAATGTTAAATTTATTTTTTTATTCTTTGGAATCAATTTATGAATTGTACTCCAAAGCTTCTTTGGGTTTTGAAAATTGTTTTTCATTAAATTTGTACAATATTTTCTTTTTTTTCCTTTGTTTAATTGTGATTTTAATCTTTCCATTCCTGTGCATCATTTTGTGAGCTTTAATAATAATCTCTATCTTTTGTTAATCTTTAAGATTAACAAAAGATAGAGATTATATGTAATCACTTGTAAACCATTCAGGGACAGAGCCCTTGAATTGAACATCAAAGATATTCTTAAAAAAACAATTTCATACTGACCATGCAGTTTTGACACTGTCAGTAGATTGAACATCATCAATATAAGCATCTGTATTAAATTTTTGCAAGACCGTGAAGTTATAAATATTGGGGGTGGGGGGGTTAATTTTTCTATTTTTATGAATTAAATTAGTAAGTGAATGGAAACTAACAAAATACAAATATTAGATTAATAATTGTTTCAGTTATTCTTATATATTTAATGAGTTGGTGTAGGTTACTATTTTTTTGAGTATAATAATTTTTTTTCAAATGACTTTATTTAGAAATATCAAGATCAAAATCCCCTAAAATTATATCATCATATTATGAGGTGGTGCATTGTTGAAATATACTGTAGTATCAAGGAATACTGGTATATACTCTGCATTTGCATTGGGTGGCCTAGGTACAGTACTTAAAATTAAAGGTTTTGAACAAGGTAAATTTACGTTAATCCAAATTGCTTCAACATCATTATGCCAAAGAGTAAAGGAGTAAAGGCCTCAGCTTTAAACACAATCCTTCCTCTTCAAATAGTTCAACTTCTTTCTAACATCCTCCAGCACCGGTGACAAGCCAGTTTTGTTTGCTTTAATAGGTGCCTAAAAAATGTGTATTACTATTATTATTATTATAATATTGAAGATAAATTAAAACCACTACCAGCTTTTCCAATATTTCTATCACGCCTCAAATCTCATAGCCATCTATAATTATTTCAGAATTATCAATAATATTGTTATTTAGCCATGATTCAGAAATACACTACTGCCGCTAATGTGTGGCTATTTTTTATGGGTCGATGATAAAACATGGGTACCGTACAATATCTCGATTATAGTTAGCCTAACCCTCTTCAGCGTAAGGCACTATATTTTTCGACATTAAATGTCGAATACCCTGGCTCTTCTACTTGGCTAGTAGTAGGTCCTAGGTTGTGTCGTCAGTTTCTGTAGTTATTTTTCATGGGATTGTCAATTCATAGGTCTACATACGTAGGTACGATGATAGAGCCTAATATACATTTTTTTACGATAATTTAATTACAATTCCCCTGACGAACACTAATGAACTGGCTGTAAAGATAGGCAAAACAGAGGCTTTCGACCTGCTTGAGTTCTCATTATTTTCTATCCATAACATATATAGTTTTCCTGTTTCTATTTCATACCCTCTTCGCAGCTGCTGTTTGGTTCCCAAGACGATTTTTGGTAATCATACCCTCTTCGCCGCCGCTATTTAGTTCCTGAGATGTTTTCGCAGACACTATTAGGTTCCCGAGACTCTTTGGTAACTGCGCACGCTCGACATGGCTCGATAACGTCACTTACTCAATGCACATGCTCACTGGTTGTCTAGCATTTCTAAGCGCATGCTCACTGTGTTTTTATAGACAATTCACAGATGTTACTCGGTAACTGCGCATGCGCATTGCTTAGCTCGAAATTCCCATTTCTTTGTAGTAAAGCTACAGCTACCTACCTACTGTATGTATTTCCTCTGCATCGTTACAGCCTAAAGGTGCGGCGCGAAAAGCAATAGTTACAAAATCTATTACTGTATAACACTGATCATTGCTATTGATAACTAAACAATTAGCATGAAAGTTTAAGGAACAACACAAATACACTGCCTATCTGATGATACTGTAGAATGATTTTTAGACTTGTACCACATTTTCCTGTAATTTTGACAAATTTTTGTTTTTATTCCTATTATGTTTATTTTTATATAATTGTTTATGTCCATTATCTTTTCGCCAGGTTTTCAGTTTTGACAAAACTCTGCTTTATGACCTTCTTTGTTGTAATACCAGCAACTGGTTTACCATGGTTGCATTGGCAGCAGACATGGTCATTGCATTGGCAGCAGACATGGTCATTTTCCCCACAACCTTTTTGTGAGGTAACTAAGTGTTCTAAACTAATAGTCAAATAAAAAATGGTTGAATAAGCCACAATATGAAACGCAATACAAGTAAGACTAAAGAAATGACAATAGATTTTAGGAAAATTTGTAATAATGTTGAGCCTGTAACCATTAAAAACACAGAAATTGCTGTGGTCACTGAATATAAATACCTAGGCTGCCTTTTTGATAATAAACTTAATTGGAAAAATAATACAAATATACTAGTAAGTGAAAGCCAACAAAGAATGGGGATCCTGCATAAAATGAAGTATATGTACATTGATAAAACTATATTAAGATTATTCTATAACTCTGTGATTATGAATATTATGACGTATTTTATCATTTGTATCTTTGGAAATATGACCCAGAAAGACAAAATAGCAAATCAAATTACTGGTGATAACATGATGAATCTGAATTTCGCTTTTAATGAGAAAATTATCAAGAAAGTTAAAGATATAATGAATGATAATACACATCCACTGTACTCCTATTTTACCCATAGTTACTCAGGTATCAGATTAACTCCACCTATATAAAAAATTAATAGGTTTAGACAGTCTTTTGTAACTAATTCTATCCATATATTTAATAGACGTGCCAAAAGGTGATTATCGTAATTCTCCATCCCTGCTATACCTTTTAAATGAAACTTTCTTACATACTTCTCTGCCTATATGTATTTTAATATAAACACAATAATTTTATACTATTTTAAACCTGGTCTTAATTTTTAACATAAATGCAATAATTTTATTCTATTTTAATGCATTTTCTGCTCTTTGTCTTTTATCATCGTACTGTGTTTTAACAATATATCTTAATACTTTTTACTGTCTTTTAATGCTTTTATAGTATATTTTATTGTTCTAACATCCCTTAATATGTTTTACTGTATTTTAATATTATTTCATTTTGATGTTTTTTGCTGTTCTGTCTAGAACATTTTAAAGTTTGCAGTCTGTTTTTAACTGTCTATGTTTGATCGCTTAGCTTCAAAGCACATTTCTGTTATATTTATGTATAATAGACTGAATAAAATGAATTGAATTGAATTGTTTTTAAAATGGGAATTCTAAAAATTACTATAAATATGGCAATTTTATTGCTACTCAAAATGGTTATTTAAGTAAGGTGGGTTAATTTGATTAAAAATTATTTGAAAAATATTGGTCTCAAAGTCTGGAGGGGTGAAGAGCCTGAACTGATTCATCGATAGTTCCCACACTATTGTCATAGATATTTTTCTTCAACTCAGTCAATTTTAAGACTGCCTGCTAATGCACGAGCAGGATCTCACATTAGGGAGGTTTCACATGCGAATGCACACAGTTAGTGTGACGAATACGTCATCATTTATGACGTCATATGCCGGTTGCTATCTGCTAAACGTGTGGACGACACGCATATCTCGCTCACTACACGTAAGTGAAAAACGTGTAGGAAAATTTCGAATTTCTAATAGGATCTTGCTTGCTTTCAGCCAGGCATTTTTGGGTCATAAACAATAGGGCTTATCACAAAATAAACAATTTTTCTGGGCAACAAATGAAGTATTATTCGCCTACCATTTTCAACCTCAATTTCTAAAACCTTGCATAAGAAGCTTTGAGAAGCATGATGAGAGAAGAAAACGGAGTATTATAGCCTATAGGCTAGGCTCCAAAAGCTAAGGTGCAAAAAACACATAATGGCTACAAACCGTTACGGATAGCTAAACGTATGCATACACGTATTCGTTCACGTGCGAAACCCCTCTATTATCTCTTACTCAACCTACAAGTTGTGTAAGTTCTTTCTACATCTACTACGATACTATGTGCATATATTATTATTATATTTATTCAGGCAAAAGGTACAATATACAAAATATAATACATATCAATCACACATAACATTTAACAAATACATTAATAAAAATACCATAGTCATTAGCTGATGTACGTACCATTAATCCTTCTTTGTGTAATTGATTGGAGACAGACTGACAAAGTTCATTCAATTTCAGATAAAGATCAGAGGGCATTGATAATTCTTTGAATGTTCTTTCTACACTTATACTTTTTCGTTCTGACGATCTATGAAGACATTTTATATGAATTTAAAATTAATCATACAATAATGCAATCTTCACACAGATTTCTAGATGCAATACTATTGTCATGTGTGTAAATGCTGATATCTTAAAAACATTTTCTGTCGATACTACAGTTTATAGGGGAAAATAATTACCTACTCTACTAGCTCTAGTTGGTACAATACAAGTCAAGTGTTTTCCCCAAAATGTGATAAAAATTTAATACTGTTATTGTTAATTACTAGAAATTTGAAATTGGCTAATTTTATACTTTCCATTAAATGAAAATACAAACTTAGGCTCACCTTTGAACTATTGTAGAACCTAAGCCTAACGAAGTTTGCAAGAATTGATGCGATGATACCTCAGAGAAAAGAAGATGAAGAATCCCTCGTTGTACATATAGATCTCCACAAGTTTCAATGTTCAGAGACTTTAATATTCTTTCTGTAACTTTTCCAATACCACTTACCTATAACAATTTTAGAACTTTTGTTAGTACAGAGGCAAAAATATCAAGCTAGGGGTTTGGTAGTAAAATAAACCATGGTTGGACTACAGAAATGGTTTTTGAACAGCTGGGGGTGACCCAAGGTGGGTGTGGTCGGACGTTGTTAAAAATGACTCAAAAGTATGACAATTTAGTGGTTTCAGAGGCATTTGTTCTTCTTTTTAAATTTTTTTTGGGGGGGAGGGGCGCCAAGAAAATTTTCTTGTGGGAAAATGGATTGTCATGTTCTAAGAATGAAACGATTAAATTTTGGTGATGTTATAGATATGACTATTTAAAGGGAACTTCCCAGACCTAGATATCTAAAAAAAAAAAAAATACATGATAAAGGCATCTGAATGAAAACCTTTCTGGAATGGTTCAGTCATGGCAAAGCAAAAAAATATGCAATTTTGGTGATGTTCTTAAGACATGAAGGCGTACATTTCGATACTTGAAGTATGTATTATACTATCTTATTTGTTCTTAAGTAGGGTATGCATATGGAGACCCTTAAAATTGACCATCTCAGATCTACTGTATATATCCCAAAAACTGATCAATGGATATGAATCAAACTTTCTAGAATGTTTCATCAAAGTCCAAGTCCAAGCAACAATAATTGAAAGCTCTCAATTTGCTAATGGTTATGACATTTGCTTTCCATGTCCTGGGTTTGAATCCTGGTGAAGGTTGAGATTTTGTTTCCAGGCTTCAATTTTTTGTTCAATAGGAAAAGATGCGTTTGATTTTTATACAGGGGAGAATGATGTGGGCAGAGGTATACACTCTCGTGTGTGCTCTAGGTGTTATATATTTCAGAACAGAAATTGGTCAACTTGGTACCTCACCTGCTGCACCTACCAAATGTAGTGAACAAACAAATCAATAAATGTATTGTTTTGTATGGTTTGAAAGTAATCAAGCAGTTACTATTATGTTACGGACATTGTCATCATTATTAATAAATTATTATTATTATTGGCTTTTCCTAGCAGTACTGGGAAAAGCCATTGTTTTTGTTCTGATATTTTTTTCCTTTTTTCTTGCATATATTTTTCCTCTTTTTGCACTGTTTTTTTTCTGACCATCAGTTTGGTCACTTCCCTTGCTTAGAATTGTTCTGTTCTTTGCCAAAGCATAGGTATATATATCAAGGATGTGCCTCCTAATATTTAGTGTCAATCTATGGTGGGGTGTGCGTGAGAGGACCAATTAAAGTGATTTAAGGTCAAACAGTCTACACTGGATAATTCAAAAACCGGTCAGTTGATCTGAATGAAACTTACGGTAAAGTTTAATCAAGTTACAAGGAAGAAATTTGTATGTGTTAGTGACGATTCAGTGAAGGGTGTAAATTTGAGGGTCTTTTCAATTTTTTAGGACCCAGACCTAAAAAATACCAATGGGTCTAAATGAAACATTCTATAATACTTTGTAAAGGTCTTGTAAAAAAGGAAAACGTCCCAGACCACATATTTCGAAAATGGATCAACTGACCTGAAAGAAACATATGGAAAAAGTTGAACCCAGTTACAAGGAAGATAGTATTATGTGCAGGCGACGAATCAGTCAACGGTGTACATTGGAGGGTGATTTTTTGAGATCCCAGACGTAAATATCTATAAAAAGTTTTCAATGGGTGTAAATGTAACTTTCTATAATAGTTTGTAAAGGTCCAGTAAAGAAATGACTAAATTTTTGTGATGATCCGGTGTAGGGTGTGAATACGAGGATACAAAGGAAAACGTCCCAGACCAGATATTTCAAAAACGGGTCAACTGATCCGAATAAAACGTTCTGGAAAGTTTAACCCAAGTTACAAGGAAGATATTATTATGTGTAGGGGACGATCCAGGTTAGGATGTAAATTTTTGAGGGTCATTTAAATTGCTTACGTCCCAGTTATAGATGGATGAAAATGACACTTTGCAGAATAGTTTTTCATGGTGAGATAAAGAAATGATCCAATTTTGGTGACAATCTGCAGTAGGGTGTGGATATGAGGACCATTTAAAGTTTTTTTGTTGACAGTTGATTAAATTATTTAAATGCAATTTGCGTTTTCTAAAGCGCTTAAACCAGTTACAGCTAGGTTAAACTCAAAACTACCATGATATGCATGAAAAATTTTTGCTTTCAGTCATTAAATCGCTATAAACTGAAAATGCACTTTCCTATGGAAGGTCAGCCCATATAGCGCACAATGGTTATGGGTCACGATGTACCTCGCTATTACCATTGCAGGCATAGTTCAAGTCTCACTAATAACGTCGCGGTGAACTTGTTTTTCGCTTTTTTTTTTTCTTTTTTTTCCCCACTATTTTTTTCTACTTCATTAAAATTATATTGGTTTTCCGTGATTTTTTTTTTTACTTTATACCTTTTAACGACTCTTCTTTTTGTTTCAATTTCATTTCTCATTAAAGCAATGGGGAAAAGCCCTATGTTCTGTTGTTCAACAGACATAGAAAGTCTACAGTAGTTATTATTATTATTATTACCTCTGCCAAGGAGGTTATGTATTCACTGCTGTCTTTCTTTCTGTTAGCAAGATTACGCAAAAATTAATTAATAGCTCATCATAAAATTAAGTGGAATGGTACACAAAGAAAGACGCTCTTCAATTTTCTAAAGAAAAGGTCAAAGGAGAAGATCTGGGTCACTTAAATTCAATTATTTACCCTCAAACATAAAAAAATAATTGAATTGCCCAACTATATTCATGCAGCACTCAAGAACACAAGTACCTGATTACGACAGGTGATTCCATTATTTTCTTGAGGGTATTCTGCAGTACTCAAGAAAGTAATGTGCCTAAATACAATCACCTATTACATTATTTAATTGAGGGTATGCTGCAGTTTCATCTGTCTCTATAGAAGTGAAAGTTCTAGCTATTACTATCTAGTATTTACTTTTCTGATTGGCAATGTTCTAACAAAGTTCATCACTGCATCTTTAGTTGGCTCAATTTTGTATTGCCCATTTGGTTTATTCTTATCCGAGCACACCTTTGCAAGCATCATGTTGGGAGCAATACCTATATAAGAAAATAAACACAATCTGTTCAATGGCAATACTAACAATGTACAGTATATTCAATTGCTAATCAATTATTGGCAGATTTTGAATTATTGATTCATATTCATTCAATCAGTGTATACAGTATATTGAAAGGTATTATGCCAAAATATGAAATTTAGGAGATGTGTTTTGTTCATTTCAGTTGTGTTTATTTATTTATTAAATTTTTTATTTAATGAACAAAATAAAATAAAAAGGAGACAAGCAAACAGGTGACGAACACCTCTACAAGGGCTCACTCTTTACAATAAAAATACAAATTTAGAAATCTGAAAATAAAAATGACAGCACAACCACAAAGACAATAAAGGAATAAGAAAAATCGTAAAATTAATAAGGGAAACAAGAACTGCCAGAATGAATATGAAAATCCTTTAAAAAGAAATTGCCAAGTTTACTTGCCTGCACTGGCTGTCAATTGAGTCTCAGCCTCAATTCTGAATCTGATTTCATTTACGGCTTCTACATCAGTCAACCCAAATGTAACAAAATGCCTCTTCATTTCATTAATTAAATTGCACGGATTATTTTCTTTCTTCTTGGTGTTATGATCCTGTTTATAATACGTCCTTTCTTCTTCAGTTAGTGACTGTCTATTTGCAAGGTGTTCAGTTAAATCCAAGTAAGCTTCATCCAAGCTCATTGGACAAAAGTTTGGATCATAAGCTTTTAAAATGTCCTGAACTTTTTTACTTGCTTTGTGATATTTTTCAAAATTCGATGGAACTAGAATGAGATCTGGACACAACTTTTTAGCAATAAACCCTGGCATAGCAGCACGTACACCAAACCTACGTGCAAGGTAGTTTGATGTACACTAAGATGCAAATAAGACTATGATTAGAGAAATAACAATGACAATAATTAATAATCATGATAATGATAATATCATTAATAATTTTTAATAAAGTTAAAATGAAATTATATAATAAATACATTGTACAACAGTTTAATCGATAATAAACCAAGCTTTCTTCTTGTCAGGACTAGTTCCGGGGGCCCCTGCCTTTCAGGTTGAAGGAGTTCAAACAGCGACTTGAACACATAAAAGATGTAGAAAACAATTCACAAAGAATATGGACATGGTTGGCACATATCCTGTCAACAGACCAAAAACATTGCATAAATCAGTCGTCACTGACATATGGTGAATTGCAAACACATCCCGGACTGGGATGACACCAAAATAATCAAAACGGAATCAACATGGGACAAAAGAACTCCTTCAATCTGAAAGGCTAGGGGGGGGGGGGCCCTGAAACCAATCCTGACAGGAAGAGAGCTGGCACCAGAGGGCGTTGTTCACGCAATGCCCAAACAATGGATGCTAGTCCACATAGATTGACAAAGTCATGTTGATAATATAGACGAAAGCTCACAGTAAGTTTACATCAAATTGTGCTTGGTTTATTATTGATCAGTTCTACAATCATTATAAGCAAACGAGATGAAAGTACTTGAATATTTACAATATCAATACAGATAATATGTTTTTTCTAACCTTTACAAATATTATTTACTACTTTTTTCCATTATAATATCATACAATGTATAACAAACAAATGAGATTATGATTATACAGTATAATGCTATGACCTTATAAATACTGGCAATAAATTCAATTGCTTACATTGCATTATAAAGTACTTGCAGTCAATTGAAGATTATAGCAAGCGAGAGGACTACACTGTTTGCAAGTAGACCCTTGATTGAATTCTTTATATAAGTTTAAGGAATTTGTAGTAAAACATCACTAAATCAGCAAAATTATATTGTTTTTATTTGTCTCATTAAAAGTGAATAACTTATTTTAAATGATAAATTTTGATGGGGTATATACAGATATTACATCAAGCACTATCTTTAAACCATGAAATATGCTTACCAGCATCGACATACTGCCAACAGCCATTGGCATATTTTTAAGGGAGGGATTATCTCGCATTTCAACAGCGGCATAGAATGCATCCATGTCGAGATGGACAATTGTACGGCTTAAATCTCTTGCAGACTCTAACTGGTTAGTAAGTCTGTCCATCTGAAGCAAAAAATAATGGTTTCACATACTTTGAAATAAAATTCAGTTTTAAGTCACATAGTGATAACCCTTTTTAGTGTCGGATTCAACAGCTTGGCTCTCTCACCTCCTCAGTATTTTTAAAACCAACTTTAGTCGTAGTTCAAGCTAAAACTTAACCAGAACCCTGCGAGTGTGTATGTTCCTTTGTACGCAAAAAATAAACGAAAATCTGAGAATTGCGATAATTAATAGTCATCAAAGTCATTCACTGAATTAGTTACAAAATTTGAAACTAATCGGACTTGCCAAATTTTAGTTATTGTGGTGTGGAACTAAACAAATATAATTAACTTGTACTTTTTAAATCTACAACTGAGCCCAATGAAAAAGAATTAAGAACCATAGTACAGTATATAGTATGGTAGTAGTACACACACACACCCGCTGCTAGGCTAGGCCAGATGACAGAAAGCCCTATCCTTCCTTCCGCCCAAGGGCTAGGCCTAAAGCTAAGCCTAGGCTGTAAAAAAATTCAGCGGTTACAATTGTTTTCCCTTTTGAAATAGAGTAAACAATATCTAATTAGCAAGTATGCAAGAAACTAGGTCTTGAAATGATGGATGTTGCCGCATGTTGAGACGATCCAAATTCTGTACTTAGCGCCCTGTTTATAATTTCATCATCCTGATTTCGTCTCTGTATGATAGGACTCAGAAATACAACAAAACATGCAAGTACACGGTTTTCTAAAACATAGTTATTTGAATGTGTGGTTTAATCATTATATTAATTTGAGTAAGGACAAAATGTTCGTGCTGATTTACCGTCTAGAAGAAATATATTGTAGCACCATTCTTTCAAATGTCTTAACATTATTAACATATTTTGAGTTCCTATTTTACGTATATTCAAATATCATAAAAAACGATTTTACAAATCTACAAAATATTGGAAGAGGACTTGACACACTACAAAAAGCCACACATGTGAGAATTCATTATTCAAAAATTACGTTAGCACAATACAGTGAAAGGAGCAGCAGAGTATTGAGTATGTAGTAGGTAAATAGAACGTACCACTTTGGTAGGTACGGCTGATACAAACGTGTATATGTTCACTAAATATAATGGAATAAAATTTATTATAAAGTGACTATGTTATTCACTAAAATAAGTCAATATGTGACAAATAGGAATGTCTACTTCCATCACAACATTTTACCATGTATTGTATAATCCATTTTTTACAAGTAGGCCTATTATTTATTTATTATTTAAACTTTCTTTAACCAGGGGGTATCCATTAAGTGACTATCACTGCTTTTCAAGGAAACCCTGGTACATACAGTGAATATATACAAGAAAAAAAAATAATAATGTTTACAATCATGAAATTCAAAAGTAACTAAAAGTAAATAAAAAACAACAAGATAGCCTAAAACTGAAAAGAGAGCAGACAAATGAAAACTACCAAACCAAAATATAAAAGGTACAGTCTTACTAAATACAGATAAAGGCCTCTTTTTTAAACGTACAGTATTAATAGAAATAGAATCAAAATTGTTACGAGTGTTGTGAAAAAGATTGTTCCAAAGATGCGCTTCACTCTTATAAAATGTACTCTAACCACTTTTGCATGTGGAACAACTAGAGTATTTGATATTTGATTCCAAGTGGGGTAGGAATGAACAGAGTGGGTGAAGGTGAATTTTGAAGACAGATATTCAGGGGCATTAATATTTAAACACAGTAAGTAAAATCTGGTTTGTCCATCAATCATTTAGTTTAAGCCAATGAAGAGTAATCATCATATCATCCACTGGAGATCTCTAATATCGGCTGATAATAAAATTCTTGCAAATCGATTTTGCTGCTTTTGCATCTTTGACTTAAGAGTGTTATTACAGTTTGACTACAATAATTGAAATGAGGCATTATTATTGCCTCACCAAACATTTTCAGAGCAGAATTTGGTAAGTAAACTTTAACACAGCGAATAATACCACAACATTTTGCAATTTTTTAAGAAAGATACTCAATATGATGAATCCAATTCAAATGACTATTAAAAACAATACCAAGATATTTGAATTGATCAACTTTTTCAATAATATGGTTATCATACATTAATGTGACATTGCTAAATCTATCAAGTTTCATAGGTACACCAAAAAGCATAAACTTAGTTTTATTAATATTTAATGTTAACCTATTGTTACAAAACCATTTTGTAATATTATTTAAGTTTAAGTGTCTAAATCTTTTTAGAGAGAAACAGGATCAAGTGAACGAAAAAGCAAAGTAGTATCATCTGCATGCACTACAGTTTTAACAGGTTACACATTGTGGAAGGCTATTTACATAAATAGTAAATAACAAGGGGCCCAAAATTGAGCCCAGTGGTACACCTATATTAATTGACTTAAAACGAGAAAGGCTACTTCCTATCTTAACTGCTTGTTTTCGATCTCTTAAGTAGGAAATAAACCAAGACAGTTCACTGCACTGATGCCTTGCTCCTCCAGTTTAATAAGAAGTTGATTATGATCAATGGTATCAAAAGCTTTCTTAAGATCTTACCGGCTTTAACATTATAAACAAAATTATTATTGGCTCATGTTCTTTATTTAAAAGGTAATTTGACTTTCACTTTTAAAATCTGATGTTTTGATTAAGTAATGTACAATATGTTATCGTTTTGGATTGTGTTTTTATTATGAATGTATTTTTATGTATATTATTCTTTTTTTGTGTTCGCCTTTTTGATGTTTTAGTGTTTTGTTTTTTTTAAGTCTGATGTGTTTGAATTTGTGATGTACTTTTGTATTGTACTTATATTACGAATGTATTTTAATGTATTTTTATGAAAAGTTTTATCGAGCAACCAATTTCTTCTTTTGGAAATAATAAAGAGATTCTGATTCTGATTAAGGGTCATTTATGAGAATAATTTTCAGGCTTACATTATTATAGGCTTTTAAGTCTCGTAAAATATGGGAGGGTTACAAGAAAGAAGACAGTTCTTTAAGTCATTTAAACACATGGTATTTATACAGAAGTTCCCTACTTTCTGCACCCCTCCTGTAAACTGGACCTGCCCCAGTAACTCACAGCCTCGCGAAAGGCCGCTGAAGGTCGCCTTTTAGCGAGTACACATAAAAGTAACTTGTACTTAGTTTGAATCCATAAAAGATAGCTTATATTTTTTGTTATGTCTGATATACTACATGTATACCTGCACCAACATGGTTCCACTTTCAATAAAAAATAGAGGGTGCGCTACTTCTTGAACTAAAAATAAACTAGAAATTACAGCAGCATGCTTTGCATGTGGGTGGGGTTGAATTTTGATTGGTGGCGAAATATGGTCACAGTCATGTTAATATTCATAAACAAAAACCTACAGTTGATTAAACGTAAACAAACATAATTATTATTAACAATTTAACCACATAAGCCTAGCTAGACCAGGTCTACAGTATGTGTTTTCTCTGACTGGACCACCCAGCCTATAAGTAGGCTAGCTTCGCGAAAGAAAGAACTGCCGACATGTACGTGCTTTTTGTTCAAATTTCCTAGGCTATGACATATATTATTACATTTAATTCAATTAATTTATTTGAATAAGCACATACAATTGAGAAAACATAGTGATTTGAATGTGTGGTTTAAACTTGTATGTAATTAGTTTGAACATAGAGGTATATTGTTCTATGCCTACTGGTGACGTTCGCGAAACTTTTTCTGACGCATGCGCAAATCAAAATTTGGACTAAAAAAACAAAACGACTCAAAAACGGTGATAGAGAGTATATGTTTTATCGCGTACAGCTTATATTTTTCATCTAACTGAAAAAACAAACATTTCTTGCACAATTACATGTCCACTAGTAACTATCGGGCACCCTTTATACCCACCGCGAAGGCACCGTTTATGTGTGTGAGATGCATGTTGTGCACATGCATCTCACACACACATTTCACACCTGTATCATTCCAATATTTCCACTGTGACCAAGGTCACAAAGAACTAAAAATTACATAATTTCATATTCTTATCCACTGTGACCAAGGTCACAAAGAACTAAAAATTACATAATTTCATATTCTTAAAACAAACTTTGACTAGCACTAATACCCTATTCAGACTACATATGTTGCGATCGGTTGCGATGTAATCGGTGGTAATCCAAAACTGATTACTCCCGATCGCAATCAAAGAACGCCTTCAGACCAACACGAAACAAACTTTACATTCTAGGGTCAGGCCTCCAGTGGCTAGGCCTATGTTGACTGACCTCAGCCAAACAGTGCCTATGGAATTTGTTGTGATTCGTTGCGATCAGATTCCGTGGTAATCGGGAGTAACAAAGATTGTAGCACCCAATCGCAGGGGTACCAATTGTGATATTGATTACATATCGACTTCTATTGGTGAGCTTTCACACACGATTTTACTTTGCGATCGGGTGTCGCAATTGCTACAACTGATCGCAATGTGATGCTAGTCTGAATGGGGTATTAATTATGCGAACCTTGACTAAAATTATACCTCCGCAGTGATTTTGTTTCGTCAGCCTAGGGTCCGACTTAAGACTAATAATATTTACCCTACTAAAAACATGCTTTTTGTAACTCACGACAGAGTGAAAAGAATAAAAACGATTTATAAGTACTGTAGGTCTGTTGTACAGTATCTTTGGTGTGTTCAAGATTCCAAAAGATGAAATTAACATGTTTTGCTAGCAACATGCAATAGTTCCTGATCTCCATGAAATCCACTTGTGTTGCAGTTACGTAGGTTCACCATAACAAAAAAGATGCGTCGCCCTCGCTCGGGCTCAGCTATAATAGTTCTCCAAAGAAAGCAAATTTTCAGTGACTGTTCGAATTCTCATGTTAACAGCTAATATAGTTATTATTATAGAAAATTAATTAAGCGAATGATGGTGATGGGGAAATGTGCCTTTGGACAACAGACAACAGCTTAAAATTCATGCGTTCATACCAGATCTCTAATATTTTGTCTGGCAATAAAATTAGTTCTTTTCATTGGTTAGTTTGATAGTCGTTGCTTGCCAGCCGTCTTCAGCTGAACTACAACTAGGACTTGATTTAGTCATACTTAGAACTTTGACTATAGGGTATGTTGTTTATGAATACAAATTTTAGTTGCAACTAGAACTAGTTAATAATAAAGTTCTAGTTCGAAGTTCGACTGAATTTCATTTTAAGAATACGGGCATCAAATTTGACAACCTTTAAAATTTTGAACCTACCACTTCTATTGCTCTCAGTTTATCTCTCTCTGTAATCGTTTCCATTTTTTGTTTCATCATTCCCAAACGCTGGCTAGTATCAGATTCTTTCTTTTGTTCATTTTCATAGAACCTAGTAAACAAAAATTATTAGCAAAATGTAAGCCAATATTCTATCCAAACATTAACTATAGGCCTATGTTATATGTAGAATTAGTGGCGGACTGGAGGGCAAATGGAAGGGTACTCAAGATTCAAGAACTTTATTAGTCATAAATATATACCATATATATAAAATATACAGAACTTTGTTGCTGGTAGATAAACAACATTGAAATGATAAACCACAAATATACAGGCCTTGTCATTTTAAAATGGCAGACGAGCAATAAAACTCAACATAATTTTTAGGCGAGTGATTATTTTGTGGGATAGCGCAGGGGGGGGGGAGAGATTAAAGATTAAAGGAATACAGATGAACGTTCAATCGCTATACAGTGCAATTAACAGGAGTCAACAAGACATCAAATTTAACTTCCAATATTTATATGTAGAGAAATAATAAAGTGCACTCTCCCAATATTTATAGTAAAATGTTCAGCGCAGAGCGGCTAAGCTCTTATTACAACTATACATTATTTTGAATACCAAGATCGTCTCCGCATACTTGGACTGCCATCTCTTACTTATTGACGCATCAGAGCAGACCTAATCCAGATTTTTAAAATTCTAAATCAATTTGATGACCTACCGGAAGAATTCTTTTTTACGAGAATAACGGATTCTGTGACACGAGGCCATAGCCTTCGCATTCGACCTACTTTATTCAGATCTGAGGTTATCAGACATGCTTTTTTTGTGCGTTCAATAAATGAATGAAACTCGTTCCCAAATTTTGTTGTAATAGCCAAATCTATAAACCAGTTCAAAACTTTACTTGCACAAGCACACAAAAACCACCCGAAACTCTATAATCCATATTATGAATTTTAATGCCCATGCACGAGGGGCTCATAAGCAAGCTTCAAGAGTCTCTAATATCAAGTAATCAAGTAATACCGAACCCCCCCCCCCCTCATCTCGGGACCGGTTACGATGTTCGGATTTCCGGAAAGTTTGGTTAGTGTAACATATCTATTGAACCCTTTCCGAACAAGCTTGTTGACGTTGTAGGCCAGCTAGGCTACGGCCTAGCTACTGAAGTAGGCATAGGTCTAGGCCTAACTAGCAAGTGTCCCTTGGGTTCGGTATGACTAGGCCTAGCCTACGAAAACATACATAAGTGTAGTGTACAGCTGTTGTTTTGTTGTAGTACTGTACAGCAAATTTAATTACCAATAAAACGAATGCTTTTACATTGTTTTTACATGCATTTTCGGTCTGATATTTTTCCCTAACCCAACACATTCTTCGTAGTCACAATGCCACTTGCTGGTCGGTTGGTTGTAAACATCAGACATCAGGTTGCGCCTCCTAAACTCTGCCAGCTAATTGGTTAATCTTTTTCGTGGGGTCATGTGCAAACATGTGCTTGACTGTGATAACGTCAGATCGCCTAAAGTTTCATTGCGTGACAGCTTGCTATGATAGAACAAACTCTGTGTATTTCGCCTATATTTATAAATTAAATCTAAATAAATCTAACAAATTTAAATTTTATTGTCTACAAATTTCCTCTGTAATTAAATTAGCAACATGTTTCTCAAAAGCGTCTTGTTTGAAGAGTAAGTGAAGCTATGCATTTGTAATTTACACGAATCAAACGACATCCAAATCCGAATAACGTCTACTAAAAATGCCAGCCATCGTAGAGACTTACTTTGAGTTCCGTCTTCATTTCAGGTTGATTCAAATCAATTTTTAAGGAGCGATAATGCAATTTATTAAACAATGGAAGGCATAATTTTCACTTGATGTAACCATTAACTTTCGTTTGCTGGTGTGTGTCGTTTTAAATCCATAGATAATCTCTGGCAGCAGTATGCTATTGGGACTGATAAAGCAGTACGAACGGTTCATTTACAGGGTGTTGTGCTAGGCCTACATCATTAGTTGTTAATTCACAGACAGCAATGTGATTATTGCATTATTTCGTCCAGAAATTGTTGTTTATTAACTGTTCAGTTTGTAGAAGTTCATACATTGCACACAAAAAAATATACAGTAATGACCCACGATATCGATAAGGAAAAAAATGCTAAAGATTTAAAGAGTTTTAAAAATATTGTGTCAAACCTGACTAGTTTTTGAAACTGCAGATTTTATTATTTCAAATTTGAAATTGTTTAAAAGTAGTATTTAGTTCCTACTTTTTACAGTTGGTAGGTTTTTACTTTTCCATGTTTGTTTTCCCTTTCTTTTATCATATCAGTAGTTTAAGTACACGGCCTCTTGGAAGACCAACCTTTGTAAAAAGATTGAAATGAGTATCCGTGGATAAATAAAGTTATTATTATTATATTATTATCGGTATAAAGACGTTTTTCTGCCTAGGCCAAGCATCTTTTATGTTGGAAAATAATTCCTGTGGGTCAGCAAAAATTGCGTCCGCATTTCGAGGGCTGTGGAGGCGAGTTATTTTGAAATATTGTAAGGCGAGCTATTTTTCACAAAAGTGCGAGCTGTCTCTTATACACATCTAGCTGTGATTAAGAGACAGGGTCTGTGTCATATCAAACACAAAATAGATAATTTGAATATGTGCATGCTAGTTCTGCAGAGTATAGTTTTAGGAAGATTATGGCCTCACGTTGGAGGATGTCCGGGACCGCTATCCAGCTAGTTAACCAAATCAATCAATGCAATTCAACAGACACAAATAATCAACAATGACATCATAAATGTATGCGGTAACTGAAATATATAAATGAAAAAAGCATAGCTATAAGCATAGGCTGGAGTAAACACTGCCACATCCACACAATAAGGTGTGGATATTTGACTATAGGCACACAGCCTGAGGGCTGGCACACCCACATAAAAGGCATAAATCAGAACAATATAAATCAGTAAATCAGTACATAAGGCTGAGTACAGATAGATCAGATTTGGCCAGCAGATAAATCTTCATCTGAAGTTTTGCAGGTGACTTTTTGTGTGACGTCACAGTCATTGACATCATTTATGTGCTATTTTGTGAAATTCTACGATTGATAATGAATTCTTAACCAGCACGCATTTTCAATGAAAAATGACACAAGTATACTTCATATCAAGGGTCAACTTTGTGTGAGATTGCTGTCTGCACGCGAACATGGGTGTACGTTAAAATTTCAAAATAACTTTTTGACTATTAAAATTAGAGCATGTTTCAGGCCATTTTGAGCATTTTAAAATTTTTTTTACATATATTGGGTTTCTGACACTGTATTCACAAATTTCCATTCTTTTTCAGTTATTTTAGGGCCAATAACAATGCTGACACATGCATCAAACATACAAACCTGTGCGCAACATACAGTGAAAATATGGCAATATCATGCCTATTTTTTAATACCAAATATAACTTCATAGGATGAATAGTGAACAATCATTGTTATATTATTATCATATGCTGTATTAGTCATTACTATAATAATTATCCTTAATTATTCATTAATATTCAGCCCACAAATTTGACGTCGGCAATCACCGACCATATTGCCGAGCCAGAATTGCTACAGGCAGGCCTAGATTTCTTTGCTTCAAAAACTGCTTGGAAAGTCAAAACTTTGACTGAAACAGGATATAGCAGACACTAAATTTCATGTACGTCGTCAAACCAAGGAAATTGGTTGTTCATAAACAGATTTGTTTGTACAATAACTATTTCTAATAGGCATGCAGTACGTATGATTTGTGTACAGTCGTCTTGTCTTTCTCGCCTACTGGTTTATAGGCTAGGCCTAGTAGGTAGGAATGACGCTAGCCAGCCGAGGCCTACAACATCGCCCAATTGAAGCCACGTGGGCCGCGTACATCGTAATGCTTATCTAAATCTATTATTTGTCTTCATTTTACAGTATTATCATATTTAAAATGTTTATTATAAAACAACAAAATTCAACATCGCATCGTGACTTCACTACTGACAAGTACTGTACATGTGTGGAAAATCCCTGATAGATCATTCTGGGCATGCGTATGGACATGCATGGGCAGTTTTGAAGCAGTCTGTGATGATACGATCGTAGCTTTTACGAAAGTGATATTTCCCATGCCAAAGATAACGATAAAATGAACGCTAAAACGAAATTTATTTGGCGATTTTCTTATGTAAAACATATGTACAGTGTTATACTACACTATTAAATTAAATACAAGTACGACCATTCTTTCACCAGCAATATATTGATTTAATAGAGAAATTAAAAAAATCACAGTCTGTAGATGACGATGTAAGGTCGAGCATTCGGAAAAATCATAATTTATACTATATAGGCCTGGTAGTAAAAAATTGCCGAGGCTGCCGACCTTAAATTCTCCGAAATTTTTGCGACCTAATTTTTTCCATCTCTCAGTACCTGTCTCTTATACACATCTAGATGTGTATAAGAGACAGCCATAATGCATTGTCATTAAAAATTGGAAGGGATAATATTGCTTAGTAAGTAGATTTTTGGGGTGGGGGTAGGGAGAGGAAGGGAGAAGGAATGGTTGTGTCATTTACCGTGATAAATTTCACCATTGGTGTTTGATTTTTGTACTTTATATTCTTTATTATATATTTCCTATTTGTCTTTAATTCTTTCTCTATCTAATAGCTCTGAGAAAAAAAAAAACATGCCACTCATCTGCAGTTGTATAGAGTACCACAGTCGTGTCGTCACGACGCCAGGTGGACGCTCTCTGATGGTTACCGTTCATTACGCCTGAATGACTTCATAGGCTTTCTGGAATAGGCATTTTAAAATCTAATATTTTACCATCAAAATATACTTAAAACACAAAAGCTCGCCTTAAAGTTATCGAACACATGTTTAATCATCAATTAAAATGCAACATCTTAATAATTACGTTAGAAATTGGGATCAATGGTTTGTCAGTGGCAAAAAGGGCGTCCGGTGGAACGTATTTTGCAACGATAACAACAGAGTAGTATCACATGGTATCGTGACGTAACACTGTAGTACTCTATACCGTAAAACATTGAATAGAAGTTAATCTTTTAATTTTTGTGAGGACCTTGGATGGGCTTTTTTCGAGGCTATTTTTGTATTAAGGTCTAATGTTTTTGTGGAAAGTTAGATAGCCGTTATGTACCCGACAGTTGGCTGCCTTTATATCTTCACTTGTCTTCAATTTGTATTCAAGGGTACATTGCTGCATAGCCAACTGTCGGGGATATGGTACCTTCATATGACTACTCCATAGAGATAATACTAGAGCGCTAACCGCAATGTATTCAATGTTCGAAATAAGCAGAACTGTGTGGGTACCATCCAAGATGGTTGCAATTGTGCCCTCAATTTACTCAAGAGGGTTCAGTACAGCTAGCTACCCGTATGTTTGAAATTTCGAGCGTTGCAGTGTTTGGGTGTAATGTACACGATTTTAATTTTCATTCCTTGGTACTTTATTTTTGAATAAGATGCTCCACTTGGCCTCGTTTTGGCTACAATAGTTTAATAAATTGTTATTACCATTACTCATTATCATTAATGAAATAATAGTCAGTCAGAGGGCTTATTAATATGTAATAATATGTATACTAAGCCTGAAGGTGGCGCTTTACTACGACGGCCATCTTGGATGGTACACATACATAACTCTGCATTGCTGCGCCATTTTGTCAACACTCTAGTTGTTTAATAGCTCTATGGACTACTCATACAACAGAAAAAAAAGTTGCATGGAGTTTAGTGAAAAATGGAGATCTAAATGAAAAAACGATGTATTTCAGCAAGTATTAAAACCTTTTCGTTTTATTTTAGGCCTTCTTCAAAATACCTATGCCACAGCAGTTGATTTTTTTGCCGTAAAACCAAAATAGTTTCATGCATGCCGACTTGCCGATCGGTTAGCGTGAGCCCTGACTGAACTCTGCAGAAACTTCACATCGAACTTCGCATCACGATGTAAAACAAAATGTCGGACAACATTTCTTTGACGCATGCGCATTTGCATAAATATCTACACACTTACGCACACACATACTACACACAATAAAAAACAAAAGAAATGTGACTAAGAGTGATTACAATAGTTCCTACTGAATTACATGCATAGGAACTAAAAAACCGTCAAACAATCAATATAATTAATAGTCAATATCATCAATAACAATCATAATTACCATGTAGCATGTTTAGCTGAAACAATTTTCTTTCATAACTGTGCCCTCCATTTTTCATGATGTCATCATTGTCAAAATGAATGATTTTTTTACCCCCCACGCCTCATTTTCTTCCTTCAAATCTTTGTGAAATTCTATGATTTATCATTAATCGACCCCGCCTGAGGGGGGCAGGCTGGTTGCCAACACTAACACAAGTATACTTCATATCAAGGGTCAGCTTCATGTACCATTATCGTGTGCGTGCACATCACGATGTAATTTTTGAAATTCTCAAGATTAATTTTTGACTAATTTAAAGCATAAGAGCATCCAAATTTTCTCACTGTGGAAAACTATCGGATACTGTGCATCACCTAAAATTCATCGGTGACAAATTTAAATCTAGTTTCATTATCATTATTATTATTATTATTATTGTTATTATACCTACCTTGAACCCTTGGATGCTTCTAAAATGATTCTGTCAATCTTATCTTTATCCAGCCCCTCCATTCCAGCTTTGTTTGTGTTAAGGGCCATTCTTGAAATCGCCAATGACTGATTAGGCCTACTGCTATCAGAAGAACAACCATTACCATTCCTTCCCGTAACCATACGCTGAAGTTTGGAATGAAGACTTTGTTCCTGTGGCTTACTCATACTACCTGCCATAAATATAGAAGAAAAACCTCAAATATTCAGTTAAAATTTTGAAGAGCCAAAAAAATACATGACTGTAGATACAGTCAGCAACCATTTACTTCAGGACCTACATTTTTTCCCATAGCTTCCCACAACACAAGACTTCCAGTTCTGGGGGGATGCGTTGGGTGAGTATGCACCTCCCAAATCGAAAAATGTCCACTAATTATACCCAAAAACTTAATTATGCTCTTGATCCATTAATCATTATCCATCTTGCTGTCTTCGATCATCCTCTCAAAACTTCCTGTCATCAAATACCGTACTAAAACCCAAGGTTCTTTCACTTATAATACTTCTGCCTTTTTTGGAACTAGCTTTCAAATAAAATACTTCTTAACTCTCTTGGCAACTTTACGTCCGCATTCATGCCAACACTCTTGTTTTGGCCAGGAGACTCCTGTTTTGATGACCTGACTCCCGGCCAATTTTTAAAAATTTTAATTAAACGCACAGTCTTGTCTTTTTATTGCAATAAAATACTACAAAAAAAACATCAATATTTAGATTATCTTTCAATATTTTGCTCTGCGAGAAATAGCCTCTTTGAGAGTAGTTCCAAAGTCATGCAGGCCTTGTATAAACTGGCCTTATGATACATAGATAGATTAAATCCTTAAACGACGTGTACACTAGCCAATTTCGTGTCTTGAAAAAGAATGAGGAAGTTGCATGGTTGTGTGGCCGCTTGTGCTTGGCTCCAGGAGTCGACTGTTCTATAATTTTTCGAGGGGTGATCTCATGTTTAGTGATATGTTGGTTTATCCAGGTAAGTATTCAAGAAATAGACAGCTAAAGCTTTCAGGGGGTTACACCCTCTGGACCCCATGTAATGGGGGATACCCCTCCCAACAGCCAAGGCCCTCGCGCCAAATTCTCTGTTTTTTAGCATCTCAACGTTGGCAAGTATGTGTCAGAAGACCTATTTGTTTTCTGGTGGCTATACACATGTGTTGCATCTTTGATCTTGTTTAGAACTGGTGCCATAAAAATTCATGATATTATTATTATTATTATATTATTATTATAATTATCAAAAGAATCATATCCTATTTACAGTATTAAGATTGTGTTAAACTGAATGTAAAACTAATTGTCAATTTTCATGATAAACACAGTAAGGTGAATTTTTTTTTATTTCTTGTTTCACAAACTTATTTTTTTAAAGGAGAGCGGAAAAAAATATTAAAGTTTTGTTTTCTTATTTAGCAAATACTGTAAGTTTTGCCAAAAACATCCATACGGAGAAAACAAAAATATAATTTTATTGGTAAATGTTAAACAGTGTAGTAATGGGATGGTTAAATGCTTCATAAAATTAAAAGAAATAGACATATCGGTACGTTATCTTTAGAGATTTCAAGGCACCGTAGGGCGTAACAAAATTTAAGAAAAACTTTTTTTCTAAAATTTCCATTTTTTCGTGGCGACGGTTACGCTAATTGGTCATAACTAAAATTTACTTTTATTTGAAATCATCACTATTTGCCGACAGCGGGTTCGCTAAACAAGGTATAAAAATAGTCTTGCCTAATAAACAAAGATACTAGAAACACAAGATAGAACTCTCACATAGCAAAAATAAGCAGATATTGTCATATATTTTACGGAGGTCTAGACGTACACGGCAGGGTTCACACGTTTTTAAACAAGCAAATTTCCAAGACAATTCCATGTCAAATTTTCCAAATATCAAGGACACATTATATTGCTTAACAACGATTGATTATAAAACATGTATGCAGTACAAATATTAAATGCATGTTAGTTGAGTGTAACTCGGAAGCGATGGATCCGTCTCTTTTTTTTTTTAACGCTTGTGTGAAAATCTGGCTTTCTCACATGTGTAAAAATTTGTTCGTAAGCAAAGGAATTCCCACAAATATGAGGAGGGGCTGATTGCCTACAGTTTCAAATGTGTGCGTACAACAATGGTCTTATCTTATTGTTTGAGAATGTGACAGTGTCTTTGTGGTACCGCCGCGCCAGAATAACTTGGTTCTTTTGTGGCTCCACTGGGTGGAGTACACGTGGTCCAGGGATGTTGTTCAGCGAATGATAACTGTCTCAGCTGTGGCACAGTTGACACACAGTAAACAACATAGAATTCTTCGATGGATATATGTACTTAGAAGAAATGTATTTTATTAACGATATAAAAATGGCCATGCAGTAATTTGATTCATTAGGGAGCTTTCATTATCACATTCAAGAATTAATTCACCGCCAAAATTTCTCTTTCTCGACCAAAACAACCCAGCCAAGGCACTTGGGTCTTGCATGTTCATTGTCACAACCAACTGTTGATTATGTGACTGAAACCAAAGAGTATAAATAGAACAAGAGAGCGTACTCCTGTTTTTGAAAACGTCACTCCTGTGTAGGATGCCCACTGACGGTTGTAGGTACTTTTTATTACCCAGTGCAGCGCAGTAGAAGTACGCCCGCTATGAACTCAGTAAGCAGAAAACAAAACTACTGTGTCTTGTGGCGAACAGATAAACAGACCGTGCGCGGTGGAGTACTGGGTCCTACACAAGCTGCGTAGGGTGTATCGTTTTTTTACGCTCTCAATGAGTGTAGTTGGCTCTCTTGTTCTATTTATACTCTTTGCTGAAACTCGGACTCCAGCGGAGCGCCAACCCTGGACCCCGGCGGGGGCCCTGGTGGCCCCTTGGCCCCCAGAAACTGGTGTAGTCACGCATTTTAAATCTCTTAGGTTGGTAACTATGGACAGCCCAACTCAAGGAACTCGGTGGAGCTAAGCTTCAAATTCCTCTGTTTTTACTATCAAAATATTGGCATGTAGGGCCTAGGCCTAAGCTAGGCTCCTACCCCAATGTATGTTGAATACAGATCATTTCGGTCGCGCCGTATTGTTATGCATTTCGGTCGCGATAAACAGCCTCAGTATGGAACGCCGATGTACGCACTAGTGCTTTATGTTTGGAAAGTAATTTTTATAGGGTTGTGTATTTTTTAAGTTTTTTTGGTCCTTGTGTACATTTCAGACTGGGTATTAAAGCCAGATTCCCGGCAAAATTTCACTAAAAACTGACTTTTTTTAGAAAATATGCATTTGCATTACTCCAATTATTATAAATCATGGAAAAATATTGGCATGGATTTTAGTTTTACTCAAAAGAATAAAAAAAAGAGAAATACAGACTATTTCTCATAAAATATTACCATTTTCTCGACGAATTCATCGTTACTAGGCAAATTGTAGATCGCATCCACTGGAATACTCTCGCTTTTATGTATACTTTATACAGTCAATAAAGTGCGCCCTCTCTAATGAGATTAGTTTTTGTACTTCGCATCTCGCACAATGCGGTCGTTCGGTTAGGCTGAGATATGTTTGTTTAAGTGTCAAAATCTCAGTCAGAATCAGTTTTTTAACAAATTTGAAATAATTCCTATGAAATATTATATTTCACAAGTGTCAATACTAGCAACAGAAAATATCATGCCGGCCGTTTTTATGTGTGATAACAGAACCTAAATCAAGGTAAGGCTAGGCCTAGCCTAGCAGCGTTGGATAGGCTAATGTTTTCGGCGCCTACGATATTTCTTCTCACAACTTATCGCAAAATCAAACATGAAAAATTCATCCTCATTTATTTTTTGTGTGGAACACAAAAAATCAAATTTCAGTCTTATTTTACATTTTTTCATTCTTAGGAATGTCTAAATTCAGTTAAACTAGCAATTCCGTATTATATTTATAAATCTTTA